CGGTTACAAAACAATTTATCTTCCATATGCAAAAATGATTCTGACAATTATTACTCCACAACCGTTACATATGCATCACATATCCCATAAATAATCCTAAACTCAATAACTTCATTTGCACACCTTTTTCTTCTTCCCCTTCCCACTGATATATTTGGATTCATACTTGTCTCCTAACAACTTCATTCAGATCACTTCAACTTCGACAAGGGAAAAAGTGCAAACAGGAGTTTCCAAATCACTTTTCTTAGTGATTCCTTTGTCAACGGGTGAAAGTCTAAACATTCATCGGTAAATGCATCAGATATGCGGCAATTTCTAATGTTTTAGTTTAAATAGTTGTTGAAGTTGAACGAAATTATCGATGTATGTTTCAGATTAAATCATGTTTCTTTTTTTATTTCTTCAATTTTTGTAAGTACTATTTTTGTAAGTAAAGTACGTAGGAAATAGAAGTTAATACAGATGTAAGTACAATTTTTATAATCAGGTGAAAGGAGAAAAGATAAATTATACAGTAGTGATAAGTGTGATGATGGTATGTGGTTCATCGATGTTGTTTGTTATTGTTTTGTTTTGATGAGATTTCTTTTTCATTTTTATTTTGGTCTTATGTTGTTTAGATACGATGGAGGAATGAGATTAAGCGACATTGGAGAGAGTCGTAGAGTCGAAGCAAAATGAGTATAATCAGAACAAACCAATTGACATCTTAGTTTGATTTGACTTTCTATATTTATTTTACAAATGATTTTAAACTTTGATAAGTCACGGAAAAAGTTGTCAGTCATACCTTATTGTTGAACGGTTCTTCTGGGATTGCAGTGACTTTGGGTCTCTTTTAATGAGTTTATCATGTATGACTTGATTGTATTTCTTATACAATTTACATGTTTTTCCCAAATAGGAAAAGATACATGTTTTTATTTATCTATTTTTTAATAGAATTTAAAGAAGAACAAAAATGAATAAGAGTATAACCTAAATAAATTTATTTTATTATTTATATATGTATTACAAATCACAAAGAGAGCATAATCACAATTTGATGATTAATAATCATATATTTAGTTACTTTCAAAATATTTTTTATAAAAATATTAACCTAAATAAATTATACCAAAAGGGTACTTGAAATAAAAAAAATAAAAAATAAAATAAGAATTCTCAACAAAATTCAAATCAGAAAGTTGAAAAATGAAAATAAGAAAAATAAACAAAGGAAATAAGACATTGCATATATGTTATTATTCAAGTAATTTAAATTATAAAGAAAAGAGACATAAAATATAATTTTCTGTTTCAGTTGTTAAGAATATTATTTATAAAATTATTATTATTGCTACATTAAATTCTAAAATTGACAAATATTTATAAAATTGATTTTTCAAAAACATTTAAAATAAATATCTATACGGAAAAAAATTACAGTATCTTACATATACGGCAAAAGTATAATAATGATCAAAATAAGAGAAAAATAGAAGGTGATCTTTATTGTTGATCTAAACATAAAAAAAAATGAAATTATTGATGAAAAATTGAATATTAACGAGAACATAAAACTACTGATTAAAATATTAAATATTAAAGAGAGCATGGAGTTATTGATCAAACTATTGAATATTAAGGGAAACATGAGGTTACTAATCAAAATATTGAATATTAACAGGAACATGAAGTTACTAATCAAAATATTGAATATTAACAAAATATTAAATTACTAATCAAAATATTGAATATTAACGGAAACATGAAGTTACTGATAAAAATATTGAATAAAAATATTGAATAATAACATAAACATGAATTTACTAATTCAAATATTGAATATTAACATGAACATGTTGTTATTAATCAAACTATTAAATATTAACGAGAATATGAAGTTACTAATCAAAATATTGAATATTAAGGACAACATAAAGTTACTCATAAAAATATTTAATATAAACGGAAACATAAAGTTACTGATCAAAATATTGAATATTAATGAAAATATTAAATTACTGATTAAAATATTAATATTAACGGAAACATGAAGTCACTAATCAAATATTGAATATTAACGAGAATATAAAGTTAGTCATCAAAATATTGAATATTAATGGAAACATGAAATTATTGATCAAACTATTGAATATTAATGAGAATATGAAATTACTAAATAAAATATTGAATATTAACGAGAACATGAAGTTATAATCAAATTATTAAATATTAACGGTAACATAAAATTACTGATCAAAATGTTGAATAATAATAGAACAACTTTACTATTGATTTAAATATTTTCTACAATAATTTTAAAACAAAAATAATATATATATATATATATATATATATATATATATATATATATATATATATATATATATATATATATATATATATATATATATATATATATATATATATATATATATATATATATATATATATATATATATATATATATATATATATATATATATAATTCAAATATTTTTATATATTAAAAGATTGATTTATTATCTCTTTTAAAAAATTTATTTTATTTTAATTATATTTTGAAAATTATTTCACTAGTTTAACTAACAAAATTCAATCACGACACTCATGCTAATGAAATAAAAATCTCAATTTTAAATAATTTAAAAATATCAAATTTGGTTAACAAAATAGTATAGTTGTTTATGAATGTCGATTTCTAAAGACGTTATTTATTTGTATTTACGCATATATTTGTATTTATAAATTAATAATTAAAAAATATATATATTATAAAACTAAAATGGTTTTTTTTACTAAAAAAATAAAATAGTTTTAAAAAATAATTTAATTTTAAATCAGATAATATGAAAAAGTTGATAAAAAAAGTGAGTTTGAAGAACCACCTCATAAAAATTCTTCATATTAAAATGTATTTATATAATAATTCTAATATGAGTAATACAAATTATTCATTATTTTATTTCAAAATGATTTGACTCATTTAATCAATTCACGATATTTAGTGATGTACCTATATATATATATATATATATATATATATATATATATATATATATATATATATATATATATATATATATATATATATATATGGTATAAATAAATAAAAAGTATTGATAAATTAAAAACTAAAAAAAATAGTATTGTTCGAATTAGTTTTTTAAAAATTGATGGAGTGTGTAACAAAGTATTCCCTTATCAATTTATAAGCAAAAGATAAATATTTCACATTATTAAGAAAATTTAATATTTTTTGTGTTTTCTAAAATTTGTTTATAAAAAAATATTTAAAAAATTGTGATTGATGGACACCCTTACTAAAAGGTGACATCCACTCTGTTTGAACTGCCACAAATTATCCCTCTTCATCTCATACACAAACACTTATTTCTAACTTATTATAAATTGTAGAGAAAGACATATTTATATTGCATTTGAGATGATCTGTCAGAAGTTTTCTCTTTCATTTTGGTTGGAACTTCTAATCAAGAATTGTTTACCATTTCTTCGTCCCAAAAACAAGAGCCACGATTACAACTTTTCCACTAAATCTTCTATGTGGCTCCAAGTATAATTATTTTTACAATTTCAAATACTCTCAATAATGGTTGATAACAAAGCTTCTTAGTCTTGATTTAATTAATATAAAAAAGAAAAATTATAGACGTGAATGAGATGTTATCGTCCCACAATATATTGTATAGATCATAAACTCGTTAGCTCTCAACACTCAATACTTTTTGGATAATAGAATTATCTTTTATTCCATCTCTACAAATATTACAAAAATCTTGACATTAAACTTCATCTATCAACGACTTTCTTTTAGGGACACTGTTCCCTACCTAAACGCTAAAGAGAATATTTTACCCTCTTAAATGAATTGTATCAATATTAGTAGTCTCTTCTATACAAAAGCAATGTGCACTACGAATTAAATACAAGTTATTCTTTTCGAATTTTCACATTATTTTGTCAATTTGGACAATTTCAAATAAGAGAGTTTTAAGAACTTTTTCCACTTTACTCCAACAAAGATATGGATCAAATTGGTATTCCACCATTTTCCATCCTTAACCATCCAATCAGAGGAGCTCTTCTTCTACTCCAACAATTTTCCATCCTTAACCATCAAATCAGAGGAGCTCTTCTTCTACTCCAACAAAGATATGGATCAAATTGGTATTCCACCATTTTCCATCCTTAACCATCAAATCAGAGGAGCTTCAAATTTTTTACTACCGGATTAGTTGACCTAAGATTTACCAACAGTTAACTACCATAAAACCAATTCAAGGATTTACCAACAATTAACTACCTTACAACCAATTGTGACCCCAAACCGAAATAAAATCTCTCGGTCCCACCTATAACCTCCTTGTACAACAAACTTGAAACTCTAAATACTACGCCACAATAATTGTGTTTATGTCCAATAATAGACATCTAGAAAAACATTTATCTTTGAATAAGGTCTGAACTATATGAAACCTTAACTGCAAAATCCAGTGTAAGGTATCTCAGAGAAGACAGCTCATCTTTTAAGTGGAACTCATTAGCTGCATGAGTCGAATCACTTAATTAACACCAAGATGTGATTCTCAATAAAATTACTATCTGAAAAACCAAAGTAAAGTCAAACAAATATAACACTTTAATCACTTTGATAATGTTCATTCAAAATCTCCCATATAGTTTCCACAATGAAGAAGCTATGGTTTGAAACATGACAGGAAAAAAATTGGCACAAACAAATGCCTCCCTTAATCTTACAATTGTAATCTCAAAAAAAAAAAAAAAAAAAAAACCTTTAAAATACCAGCACTCAGTCTTTTTCTACATCAAAACAAAGAGACATATTGAGCAGCAATCAACTAATAAATCTATAAAATAAAATTAGAAATTGCTGAAGACGCTTATTGTTTCCAGATTACAAGATACCTCGAACTACCAACCACATGAAAATGGGGACTGAAGTCCTTAAGTCGCTTTATACTTCACCTCTTTTAGAAAATTGTGAACCAGGTATTACTCGCCGCAAACAAATTGTACTCCTCTATGAAAGCATTCTCTTTCTTATTGCAACCATGATCTTTTTCGACTTGATCTGGAAAACTTTTTGAGTTAAAATCTCCAACATAGTCTGAAGATGCAGCCGCTCTTTTGCATTGATTTGAAAAGGCTACTGGCCCGCCAAAATGAAACAATGAGAAGCCATTGTTACTATCTTGTGACTTGGCAGAATTGCCATGTCCACGTCGGTCTTCCCCGTTCGGTACTGCTTTTCTGGAATTAGCTGCATTTGGAACAAACCTTTCTCCAATAGATTCATGCAGATGATCTTGCATAGATGATGGCTTAGATGTTTGACTTAGTTCCTCTCCATTTAAGCCCTTAGCTCTCGCAACTGGATGATAAACTGGAAGTTCCTCTCCATTTAAGCCCTTAGCTCTCGCAACTGGATGATAAACTGGAATAGCAGCATGGTTGAATTGTGGTGTCGGTTGTTGCAAGGAACCATACTGCAAGCAGTAGCGTGGATCCTCGTTTAAGTTATATCCAAGAGGGCCTGCATACAAATACTGATTTGGGTGTAGAATGGGCACCAACCCATTTGTTGGAGCGGCTGGCGGCCATGGAACTGGATTTTGATGGTAATAACTCATTGCCGAGGGAGTCTGAAACACAGGAAATTGTACGTTTCTGTTTGTTGCCATTGGAGGAGGCATGCCTTCAGGTTGAGAACATACATTGGTGGAAGAAAACCCATTTTCAAAATTTTGGACGGTACCATTTTCAAAATTTTGGGCTGTTTCTAACACAGGATTACGAAACGATTCACTTTCTGCTACATCTAAGGATGGAACAGATTGCGACCTGCTCGACACACCATCACCATTTGTGTTATGAGTTTTCTTGATCCCATGTTCATAACAGCCAGACAAATCATTGTCATCGCGGACTGAACTATCTCCTACCTCGTATATCTGGCTAGCATCTTCAGAATCTGAATTTGAAGATTCTGTATTTTCACGGTTTGAAGAGGTCGTATTATTATCTCCCTCACTAAGGCATGATGAGCAGTTATCAGAACTAGAAATGCTACCTTGACTGTGATCAGAAGAATTATTTATGGTAGATCTCCTCGTTTCTATGGAGCTGCAAGATCCTTCGGCTTCTGCATCAAGATCATTCTGGCAGCCTTCGGTCATTCCACTTCTCTTCAAATCACTACTATCATTGTCAATTTCACCTGAATCGTCAACTTCGTCAACAGGGGACTTGACCGGATCGAACTGACATACCTGATCTGTGGACCTCAATGTAACATCAGAGTCTGAATTACTACGAGAATACTTGTTGAAAGATTCCGTAGGTTCCCAAACTTTCTTTGATTGAAAATAGTTCCCCGAGAAGACTCTGCTTTTGGGTCTTCCGCTACTCTCATGCATTGAGTCTACCTGATTATACTTACTACCACGATAAAACTGCCTAGATGTATCTACAGTAGATTCCGACTTACTAGCAGCTTTCATCTCCCAACTACTTCTGGTCATTCTATTATTCAAGCTACAACTGCATGAATGGAAATCATATTTTTCACTCATCCGGTAGTTGGAACTGTTACACTTATGACCAATGTTACGACCGCTGGTTTTCGGAACACTTATTTTTGATTGCCGGTTCAATACATTGATTCCCCTGGAAGATGTTCCAAAATTATCGCCATAGTGTCTTGGCTCAGATCTGTCAGACCACTTTGAAGACATGTCAGCTTGAAAATCTTTCCTATATCTAAGCCTTTGATGATAAAACTTTGGTTGCTCAACTATAAAAGTATCATTGCTGTCATGTGCATTTGCAATGTCTCCATCATAGTCACCATAAGCACATTCTTGTGCTCTGAGAGTACTACACTCACTTGAGAAGTCGTCATCTTGGATGTTAGGGTAATCACACTGTGATAAATTAGCCTCATCGGTTGCATTACCTGAATTCATGCATGTAATACTAATAGCATTATTTTGCTCTGAATCAACCGGTGCAGACATTTCTTCCTTTGAGGCTTCAGGAGAGCTAGGAACATCAACTGACTCGGAACAATTTCTTTCTTTATTTTTATCCTTTCCTTTTAGTCTTTCCTTTCTCCTAAGCTTTTTCTCCCTTTCTTTTGCTCTTTTTCTCTCCTTGCGCTCTTCTTCTTCACGTTTTTCCTTTTCTTCCTCTTCAAGAAGTTTTGTCTACAAATACATCATATATTTACGATTTAGGAAGAAGTATAATCACAAGACACATAGAAGCGAGATCTAGGATTTTTCCTTTTATTCTCAGAAGTCTGTTCCTAATAAAAGGATAATAATTAAGACCTGCTTTTCTAATGTAACGATCTCTTTGCATGCAACATGAACTCGTTCCTCCAGCAGTTTTAGTGCAAGACAAACGAATATGCTATGCGCATTTTGACGAGCCGTTCCTTCTCTGAAAGCCTTTTCTACCTGTAAATATAGACAATTAGCAGTTGAATAAGATGTCTGCACACACAACATCTACAGCCAAAAGATAATATAAAGATATCAAATTTGAAAAGATATTGTGAAGATACTCATAGAAGGTGGAATAAAAAGACAATTAATCAAAGCAAAACATGCCTGTTCTTTGAATATAACTGTAGCAGCATCTAGAAGAAACTCTCGAGCAAGTTCAGGGCTTTTTGCATGCTTTTGCGGACGGGTGCATTCTCCATCGAGGTCATTCCCATCTTTGTCCATCAAATCATCATCCTAGAAGTAAGCAATGTATAATTAACGGATGAAACTTAGACGACATTCCTCATAAACAATTTATAAAATTCCATGAACTTTGGACAATAGAAGGGAATCCAATTTCCTTAACGTGAAGTACCTCTTCTTCTTCTGCCTCTTCAGCATGCTCAAAGAATCTTTTTATACTTTCTCCTTTTGTGATTGTAACATAACCATCCCCTACAATAAGCCTGCAATGTACGCACTCTTGACCTTTCAATGCATGAGCTTTAACACAAAACTCAGTACACCGTCCATCTAGTTTCCAAGCTCGGAGGGTAATAAAGCATGCACTCAAGCCACCAAGATCTAAGCCACTAGCTTGAACACATCCACTCGTTCCAACATTTTCAAATTCCAAAATGTCTGATTTTCCTTCAGTTGTACCCACAGCCCACTCAAAGTGATGATACGATCCCACAGTATCTGCAAATGTGTGGCGCCAATCAGCTTGAATTGAGTCATCTGATACCTGAAAAATCAGAAGTATTGAGTTAAGAACAATATCTAATTTGGTCCTAACGTGTAGCAAGATAAACAATCAATTTCATAGAAATGTTAAAACAGACTCTCCCATTGAAATACGAATCACAGCAAATTTCACAGCATAGAAATATGGAAGTCACACCTCATACTGAAAGGCAGTATCAGCAACACAAAACCAACTGGTGCAACGAGGTTCTCTACGCATGCGCTTAAGTTCTTTTAGCTCCTTAAATTCTCGAATAACATTTCTTCTACAGTCTCTGCAAAACCTCTTGCTATCAAACCTGTAGATAAAAGGTAAACTTTTAGTTACAACAATATAAACCATATCATGCTAAAAATCAAATGAAAATTGCAAATATTCTAAATAGAATAAGAACAAAATTTAGGAAAAGAATTTTCTTTAAAACCAAACAAATCATTTCTCTAAATATAATGGTATTAAAACCTCAAAACAATAGAAGACAAGAAGTTCTCTTTGGAAGTGGAACAAGCATGCAACCAAGCTTAATGATGAAAGGTCATGTAACTCCTAAGACAAAATGGTAGCCAAAAATACTAGATAAACAAGAGCTGATAACTTAGACCCAACCTAACGTAACCTCGAAATTTTGCTAAAGAAATTATATAAAAGTACCTTGGCCATTTACCCATCCAATGTAGGATCTTAAAACACCCCTAAGATTGAAAATCTTGAATTGTGGGATTGAAAATCTACAAGGGACGCAATATTAGGGCCTAGAGTAGACTACAATACCATATTAGAATCGATAATAAACTTGGCCTAGCTCAACCCCGAAAGCTAGCTTAACTTACTATAATTATTACCTTGGGCATATCCCTTAGCTGTGTGGTATCCTAACACTACTTTCAAAAACATCACAATACCCTCATAAGAGGAGTGGACATAATTGCATTAACTACATAGTTTCCTAAACACTCAACAAGAAACAGCAATCATCATTAGAATGGAGATTTGAATTGGTTCAACACTAAAAACAGCTTATCAATTAATTTATATTCTCCATATATGCATGATAACAATACATAAATAAAATCATCCCTTCTTACCTTATTGTCCATACCTACATTCCAAAACATCATTTAGATTAAAGATATACGCAGCTACTGGACTACATGTGATGCAAATGCAACTGTACTAAATGCACTAGATGGAATTCCAAGAAAATTTTATAAACAAAAAAAATGCACAATTCCATTTGGCCTTGTGCTGAAATATAACATAGGATTAGTGTGACTTGGTATTATGTAAAATGGGTACTAGTGGTGCTTTCAACGTCATAGATATAGGTGATTGTTCTATCATGATTTCATAATTCGGGTGACATCATTAGAGACTTTATATAATGTAAATGAGCACCACTTGAGATTGAACTGGTCTTTTAATCTTTACTTTCTTATTCAATTTGTCAAAATCAGACTCCTACTTTCTATATAAATAAATAAAAAGGTAGCAATGAAAAATTTAAATAAAATACATGTTTTGCACACATAAACAAAAAGGAATAAAATAAGAGAATTTGGAAATGAAGAAAATGCTACGTTGATACCATCTACAGCAATAGTTTGATATCAATTATCTTCCTTAAAAGCCCACTTAGAAAGAATGTGAGAAGTGAGAAAGAATAAGAGCAAAAACAATTTGAATGCCAAAATGTTAAATTTTTCTAAAGTATATACCGTTAAAATATTTAATTATTTTATCCATAAGAATCAATAAATAAATGATCAATTATTTTAACATTGTATAATGAAAATATATGACAGTCATCATTCATTCATGCATGAAATTTGTTTTTATCCTTTTCTAAAATGTATGTGTTGTCAATTGTAGAAAATAGTGAATTGTTAAAATTCCGCTATGTGATAGTGCTATAGCGCCGCATATAGATTATTGACAACGATTTTGTATTAAATAGCGCATCATACAGCAGAAGCGGTTTGTCTAAATCCCGCTTTGCTATAGTGGTATATAGGCGATGTAACGGCTATTTAACAAAAATTGGAATGCATTTGATGTAAGCATACAAAAGTCAACTAGAGGTACCATAACGCGCTGCAACTAAGGAAAATATACTCAAGGCAAAAGCTTATATTGGCACTATAGCGGCTATATAACAAAATTGGAATGCATTTGATGTAAGCATATAAAAGTCAACTACAAGTACCATAACGCGCTGCAACTAAGGAAAATATACTCAAGGCAATAAAGTAAAATAGGTAATAAAATACTTGATACTACTATTACTACCAGTTATTGTCGTCAAGTGGAACGAAAGTGGCTGCCAAGGCCCGGCATTATCTAAGATTAACGCACTATGGGGAATGCTCGAATAAATCACTCACCTGAACATGAGTCTCTCAATAAAATCTTCTTCCTTCATCCTTAGAAGAGATAGTCTTGTCTCCTCGCCCAGTGCTGACCAAAAATCCACCAGCGTATCACATGAAAGTCTGGCAGTATGCAGGGCCACACGTTTCCCGTGTCCGTGCCCTCTACCCATAACTCACTATCCCTTGGCTTATCCAACCACGGCCTCCACCACCACAGGCATCGGGATAAAGCAGTTCTCTTTCCCGCTCTCTAGCACGCGCGCCGTCAAATACCTAAAAAAATAAAATAAAAGATAAGCTACCATGCAGGGAAAATTATTGCATGACGAGAACCCAATACAACTACACTACACTTACGATTTGCAATCCTTTCAAAGACTTCGAATACAAGTAGCAGTCCATAAGAGTAAGTGAACCCTCACGCGTCGTCGTCAAACCTCCCCAAGGATGAACAGACGGATCTCGAATTTCATCTTGTACCCCGTTGGAAACAGACGATCCACCATAACTTTGATTCTTCAAACCCCCAGGTCTGCCACAAGGAAACTGAACACCTGCCCCCTCTGGCTGCAGAGACTTTCCATACATAACAATCTGCAAAAAGCCTTCAAGAAGCAAACCATTGCATCGAGGAGCAGTACATGTTTTTCCGAGCTTGCTCAAAAAGGGTTTGCTTGTCTATTCTCAAGAGTTCCTGCCGCGCTTGTGGTGACAGCTCACTCCAAAACTATATCACAAAAAAAAAAAAAAAAAACATTGATCAAACAATCAATTGACAATCTTTCAGTATTTCACATTATTACAAGACAACCATTTATCAAACATGTTAAACAATCAAATATTACTATTGCATCCAATAAAACTACATCCTAACCCTCTCCCAAAAAAAAAATTTCTTACACCAGTGCTAGATCCAAACAAAGCTAAATCAACAAGCAATCATCATCAACACAGAAACCAATAAAATTAACGATCTAGCACCAACCCAGATAATAAAATCAAATAAATAAATCTAAGAACTAATAAAAAAAAAACCTACTTTATGCAACAAAAATGAAAATAGAATAAAAAATTGGATCGAATATATATACCTTGTGGAGCTGATTGTATCCAACATCATCCCGATTCTTAGACCAGAATCCATTGGCAGAGATAGAGTTGGAGTCATTAGTGAATTGGGGTAATCCTGGCATAATTTTGATTCAATAATAATACAGCAATGGTTTCATTTGAATTGGATGTGAATCGGAATCGAGAAAGAATCAATAGAGAATTGACAAAATCTAGAATAATAATTCACAGATCGAGAGATTTAGAGAGAGAAAGTAGAGAGAGGAAGGGTATGGTGTGG